GATATTAGGTGGTGTTGTCATAGAGCGTATTTGGGTGGTAGTCATCATCTACCAATTGTAATTGAGATAGATAACATAGGTAAGTTACCTAACAACTTCATCTCAAAAAATAAGCTACTTAGTAATATCAAAAAGATTAATTTTACAACTATGAATAATTTTGAGGCAGGAGTTAAAAAAGCAAGGAAAGAAGCAACAATTGACTTAAATAGGTACAAACACACGCCGAAAGCATGGTGGAATGATGAAATGGGAAAAATGTATAGATTTCTTGTGATAGCAAGGAAAAAAGCCAGTAAATCTAATGAGGTGCAGGATATGGAAGAAGCTGTGAGGTTAGAGGTAGAATGGAAAAAGAAGGTAAAAGAGGCTAAAAGTAGCAGTTTCAAGAGGAAAATTGATGAAATCAACTGTAATTCGAATTCAAGAGAGGCCTGGAAATTTATTGGCAACATGAAAGGTGGAACAGAGTATTGTTGTAGCAATTGGGAGGATGAGAACAATGAGAAGTTTCTGAGCTTTCTGAAGGATCAGGTTCGACAGGTTGAGGGGGCAACTGTGGATAGGGCTCAAATGATAACTGAACAACAAAAAGTGGCGAATGTTAATGTAAATTTTTCTTATGAAGATTTTGAGTTACTAATTAGCAAAAAAAAATTGACTGCAGCAGGTATGGATAATGTCACATATGAAATGTTAAAGAATTTGACGGTAGAGGCAAAAAAAGCGTTTGTGAATTCATTGGAGGAGCACTTCAATAAAAATATAGTAAGAAAAGAGTGGAGAAATATAAGAATAGTACCTATTCCAAAAGCGGGTAGGGATCGTGAAAATATTTGCAATTATCGTCCCATCTCCCTAATTTCAGTTGTAGCCAAATGTATTAATATGCTAATTAAAGAAGAAATTATGAAATTTGTGGAGGATGGTAACATAATACCGCAAAGAAGTTTTGCATACAGGAAGCAGCGTTCTGCAACAATGTGCATGAATGAAGCGCTTCAATTGATAGCAGATAGGAAGTGCAGGAGTGAAAAGGTATTTCTGGGGGTAATAGATCTCTCTGATGCGTACAACTGCGTGGATTTAGTTATGTTGCATAGGATACTTATGCGACATGGCATGAATCCAAAAATTTGTGATGGGATTATAAATCTTTTTTCCAAGCGAATTCTGACGTTGGGTAAATGCTCTGTTGAAGTAAACAATGGATTGCCACAGGGAAGCTGTCTCTCTCCGATATTATTCAACATTTATACCGCAAAACTGCACTCTGTCTGTAATGAGAATACTCATCTTTTTCAATATGCGGATGACTTTGCTATAATAACGCACAGCAGAAATGAGGAGGTAGCATGTAATGAGTTTACTAATAAAATTGCGGAAATGCATAGTTTGTGTGAATCGTTGGGTCTCAAGTTCAACTTAAATAAAACAAAATTTATGGTGATGACGATGGGTAGAAGAAAACAGTTTAATGTGAGAGTAAATGGTTGCAATGTGGAGCAAGTGGAAAAAATGAGATGGTTAGGAAGGGTAATAAGCGCTAATTCCACAATTAAAGAGCACATAGGAAATGTCAAGAAATCTATTGTGCCGGGAAAAAATTTGCTGGCAAGAATTACATCTATAAAAGCTGGGTTAACCCCGATGGTAGGATTGAAGCTGTACAAATCATTTGTTCGTTCAAAAGCAGAGTACGCTAATACCACTTTTGCTAACATGCCCGAGGGGTATAATAAGCAGCTATGCACCATATTAAATGACTCTCTAAGAAGATGTTTAGGGGTTCCGCCAAACACGCCGACTTATGCAAGATATGCAATTGCATGTGAGCTTCCACCGCAGAAAAGAGCTATATGGTTAACGTCGAGAGAAATGTCAAAGCAGTGGTTTATCAACTCGAGTTTGAAAAGGGAGGTTGAGGAAAGCTATGCTAGGAAATCGAGTTACGGGTACACATACAACAAGTTCAAATCTTACTTTGATAGGTTGAATACTAATGTTTTATTTAGCAGACACGAGAAGCTGAGTTTGGTCTCCTCGAGGCTAAAAGGTTCCAAAGCTAATTTTTCGAGTGAACAACTGAAGGCTTTATACTATGGGGAAAAGAGTAGTTTAGAGGATAAAGGTTTTCACCTGTACTCGACGGATGCGTCTGTATCTGAAGGAGTGGTGGGTTGTGCGGTGCATGACATGAGGCAAGGGATTTCATTTTTATACAAGTTAGAAGAAACTTACGCGTCTACCTTTGGGGAGCTGGTCGCTGTAAAGCAATGCATTGTGATTGCAAAAAGAGTGAAAGACAAAAAAATTTGCATATTCACAGATAGTTTGCAGGCTGTGAAAGCGCTAAAATGTGACCGAACTAACAACTACGTTGTAGCTGACATACATAATGATATCGGAAGGTCGGTATTAGAGGAGGTACGCATTATTTGGGTCCCTGCGCATGTTGGGATCGGGTTCAATGAGAAAGCTGATTTTGCGGCCAAAGCTGCAGTGACGCAGGGCTTGACGCTTAAAGTAGACCTGACACCGAGTGAGATGCTTAATAGAGTGAGCAACTGTCTGTGGGATGAATGGAGAAATGAGGTCAAAATTTTGAGTAACAGATGGGACGAAAGTATGGTAAACAGCATTATGAACAGGGAAAAAAGACCATGGTTCAGGGACAAAAACTGGGACTATGACGCATATGACACAAAGCTACTGAATAGACTGATAGTAGGTAAAACGTATGGCAAAGAGTATCTCAGTAAATTCAAACCAGAAGTATCCAATTGGTGTCACAGCTGTAGCGCCATAGAAACTGCTGAGCACTTGATCTTTGAGTGCACTAAGTATGGTACAATTAGAAACGAATTTATGATTTTTAATAAGTTTAAAGAGCTTAAGGAAATTTGGGTAACAAAGAATTTATTCTACTACAAGGAGGTAGTAAAATTTCTGCACAAGGCAGGTCTTGACAAAATGCTGTAAAAAAAAAAAAAAAAAAAAAAAAAAAAAAAAAAAAAAAAAA